CCCCTTCTGTGGACAGAGGGATACTGGGGTGCATGTGACCCTCATTTATGCCAGGCTGCAGCCCCTCCACGTCCAGTACCTCCTCCTGAGGTTTTGGTTGAATTTCACCCCCCACCTTTTTGTTTTTGGTCACCCCATCCATGGCTCCACCAAGTGCTGGGACCTTCTGGTCAACCTGCCCCTGGCCCTGGCCAAGTGGGCCCTGTACTTGACCAGGAAGGAGGCTCTGGATAGGAAGGCTCGTGGAGACTATGGTGCTACTTTCTTCTCATTTGTCTGTGCACTTTTCCAGGCAGAGCACCAGTGAGCAGTGTCCACTAGCTCCATGGATGCCTTTGAGGACCATTGAGTGTGGCCTGGGGGCTCTGGTTAGTGTCCCCCTCTGAAGAACTTATTTTCACAGTTTGAACCTTTGACCCCCCCACATCACTCCTATCCTTTTCTTCCTTAGTTGTCCCACCAAATATATATACTGGTTGTAGCTTTCAAACTTTGGCCCCACACAGTGGGGGTTATTAGTTAACTAGGTGGGCCTTATGGACCACAATCTCTGGAATATACAAATAGACGGGAGCATCTGAGGTGCAGCCACTTGTTATCTGGAGACACTAGCCCCTTGTGTCAGCTAGGCTGCTGAAGCAGCATCCCAAATTCACTTTTTAAAACACCCCATTATCCACATTCTTCCACAATTAGAACAAAAGAGAAAGAGAAATTGATCAGATGAGCAATGTTTTATTGCTATACAGCCCCCGTGCTTAGCAGAGCCACCACTAATGGAGGAGCCAGAACCTTCAGATAGGCAGGCACTTGTGTCCTCACAAGATCAGCAGGCACGGGCTCCATGGGGGAATTTGTGGCTCTGGCTCAGGACCAGCACAGGGCCAGGCTGGAGGAGCCTGGAACAGGGGCTGAGGGTCATGTGGGCCAGTGGGGATGAAGTGGGGAAGCAGCCCCTTGCCCTGGGGCTGGGGCTTCTCTGCAGCCCCTGTGTCCCACTGGCAGAAACTGGGTGGACCCAAGGCAGTAGCAGAGTCTGCCTTTCCCTGCCCCCTCCTGATGCCTGGCCCCAGCCCCACACATGGGACTGCCCTGGCACTCATGGCCAGCTGGCCTGTGTATTAGTCTGCCTATGTCCAACCCCTCCCACCCCCTGCTCCTCGACTGGCCCCATGTCACCCACCCTTCTTCTCTGCCTGCTCTGTGTTTGCCTGATCCGCTTCACTGGAGCTATACCCCACTGATAATTCTGGACAGGCATTCCTCTTCCAGCCTCAGCTGACTGGTGGTGTCGGTGGCAAGGAGTGGGGGGCAAGCGGTGACTGCCTGTAGGCACCACTGGCAGTGTTGGCAGCGCCTTTTTGCAGGGGTACACTTCCATGCTCAGGGGTGCAAATGCACCTGTATGCACCCCCTACGCATCACCAATGTGTGGCTGGGTGTGGAGGGATATGGACGGGATGAATCAGTGTATGGGTAGGTGTGGGGGGACTCTGGATGTGGGGGCTGCATAGCCCCCCCCCCCAGCACATGGACTACCCTGCCTGCAGGGTCCCAGCCTCCCCTTCAGGGGCTACAACTCCTCCCTCAGTCTCCCTACTGGTCTCCAGCCTCCTGCTTGTTCTTCTGCCTGTCTCCAGCCTCCTGCTTGTTCTCCTGCTCATTTCCAGCCTTGGGAGCCCTGTAGTGGGCCTTGGGAGGCTGAAGATGACCAGGAGAATGAGTGGAAGGTTGCAGCCTTGGGAGGCTGGAGCGGAGCAGGGGAACAAGCAGGAGGCTGGAGATGAGCCCCTGGAGTTGAGCTGGAGATGTTCCCCTGCTTGGCTCCAGCCTCCTGCTCACTACCCTGCTGTCTCCAGCCTCCTGCTCATTTTCTGCTACTGTCAGTGAGTGTGAGGGGACAGGGGAAATGAGTGATGGGGGATGATGGAGGAATGAGTGGGGTGTTAACAAAACCAATGGGGGTGGGGCCAGGCAGGGCCTCCCCCATGGTTCCCCTCCCTCCAGCCCCCAACCCCCTACTTACCTGGTGTGAAGCTGGGACCAGGTCCCTGCAGCTTGCACTGCTGCCTGCCCCACATGGGCAGGCAACGTGCTTCAGCACCACGGAAAGGGCCAACAACAGAGATGCTCTGACGGGCTACCAGATCATCTCTGTGGAGGACTGACCCTCTGGTTGCCTCAGAGCACAGTCCAGGACCATGCCCTGCCTTGCATTTTTCCCCCAGGCTATTGTTTAACTCCTGGATATCTAGGGGTCTAATTTTGCCCCTGCAGTTCAGGGAATATTTTTTTTGTTCCCACACATGCCTCTTGCAGCATCTCAAAGGGGTTTGGAATGCTGCAAGAGGCACATGCTTGCTTATCTGGATGTGCCATAAGAGTCACAGTACTGTACCTAATGATTTTGATCTCTGTGCTGGTTTTATACTGCTTTGAAGAATGAAATTCAGCTTTTCCCAGCCAGATATTTATGTTTCTGTCTCTCCATTCCCACCCCCATAACACCAAACATGTCTCGTTATAGTAAAGTTGTATTATCTGGCTTCTTGTGGTACATAGATTAAGAGATCCCACTGTAAATAATGTTGGAGTCATTTAATAAGATGGGTTAATGCTGTTACCATCACTAAACTAAAGTTTAAATTAAGGTTGTATATAAATCTTTACAGCGAGGTGATTACCCAGTTAAATGATTGCTATGTAAAAGTGCTCGGATTAGGTATAAAACTGAAGCAAAATTCTTTTCACCTTGACCAAAAATTTGTCAGGAAAAAAAAAATCTTCCCAAACTACTGAACCTTCCATGCTGATTGCTGTAATTAAAAGTGAACACTTATGTCCCATCTGTTTACCACATCACTGAAGCTATGAGCACTGTCAGTGGCCGTGGGCACACAGATAAATCAACAGGCTAGTGTGCTCCTCTGAAATGTAATAACACCCACCAATTTCCCACTCAGCTCATTGATATTGATTTGCAAATGAGCTTGCCTGTTTTTTTTTATTGGAACTGAATCATTACTTTAGCAAAGTGTTCCAGCCAAGATGCAGAAGCTTTCCAAGGGCTCTGGATTTACTATTTATCACTGTCATTTGCTTATGAATGGATCAGAAAAACTAACAAAGAGGACTTCCAATAATTAAGTTTACAAGAAAGTACCTTCAACAAAATGGAGTTTTAAGGTAACAGTAAGCATGTAGTAAGAGTGAGTGCTGTACATTTGTCGTAACTGTTTCAACCAAGACAATGTGGCATCATAAACAATTGTCTGTGTGCTATAATGACCATTACATGGTATTAAAGTACACTTCTAGAGCTATAATTACTTCGATAACAAATCACCTCCCCAAATATCTTTAGTCCTTAGTACCAGCCTGCCTCTTCCTGGTTAGACTGGAATTGTGAAGTGGGAAGGAAGTATTCCTTAGGGAAGCATGTATTTTAGTCTTGAGAAAGAGAGCACATTATGACTTTTACCCACCCGGAAATTCTTGGAAAACCATGTCCCTCAGCCTGTACTCGTATTGTTAGTTTTAATTCCTGTACAGAGGAGGAAGTGCTGGTTGAAACAGGAATTTTTTCTGGTGTGAAGGCTACAAAAGCTAATAAAAGTTCACAGTAAGGAAGAGAGAGGAAGGCTCCTCACCAACTGATGAAAATAAGAGCTAAGTAATCATGAAGGAATCATCCTTACAGTCTTCCTTATTTTTTTCTGTGCGTGTGTGTGTGTGGATGGATGCATGTGCACATCTATGTGCATGCTTGCACTTTTCTGTATGTTTGGGACCGTCCAGTAAAACATATGGCAACCCCCTCAAAAACTGATCTCCCATCATTTATCCTTAATGAGCTGTATGTTTATCCTTATATTAAGTGGGTTGGCACAGGCTTGCTACCTTGCAGGCTGGTTTTGTTCTTTTGGGAGTTCCTCAGCCAGTCCTCTACCCAAACACTGTCTTTTAACTAAACAAAGAAGTAAAGGAGCAAAAAACCCCCAAACAAACAAACAACCCCCTCCCCCCAACCCCCCCAAAAACCTCTCAGCCCTTGTGTAAGGAATAGGAGGCCTTTTAGTGGTGGCCCACTACCTTCATGTGACTCTTCCTGGTAGCAAGGTTGTTTGTATTCCTGGCCAGAATTTGCTTCTTCCCCCAGCTCTCTCCTTTCTGCTCTCTCCTCTGGATTTTTAACTGTGTGGGAGATACTCATTCTCCCTCATTAGATAACCTCCTGCAACTCAGCTTCTACAACAGAGCTGTCTGCTCCTTCTTAAAGGGTCAGTCCACCCTGTTACATACTTCCCCTCCTTCTTCAAGAGTGGAATCCAAGATCTACTCTACCACATTCAGACTCCTCATCTCCTGCAAGAAATGTACATTGGCAGGTGCAGCTTAGACAGTGGAGGATATCAAGGGAATAGATTCAATGCCAGGTATCAGCACGTCAACCTGGGGTTGGCTTTTTTCATCATGGTGTAGCCACTTCAGGAGGACATAGTCCATGACTAGAGTAAAGGGAACCCAGAGTAGATGGACAGTTAAGTCCCTCTGGTACTATTTCATAAAGAGACACTTCTTCTGCTCCTCAGGATTGCTGCTCAGGTATAGGACTGTTTTCAAAGCCCTGGCATCCATCTGTAAAATAAATTTATGATTAAAGCCCAAACTGCATAAAACTGGGATGGTACACAGTATTGGCTTGATTTATCCAAAGGTCTCACTGAACACTGGAGACTACTGCACTGTTTTGGGTGGTATGTTACCTAGTTTGTCCACCAGTGGGGCAACAATCACCAAAAACTTTCAGCAGGCTCCAGAGCTGGATGCGAAAGGTGGCTTGCCACTGCTGCAGCTAGTTCAGTCAACCAACCTCTGATTGAGAGTCACACCTTTCTAGTAGGATGAGGCCAAGTATCCCCATCTATACAGGTTATATACACAAACTCCATAATTGATAGCTGGATGGGATCCACAAACTGCCTGTGGACATGTATCTAACTAAAGCCAAAGTCTGAGGCCCAGAACCTGGACATCCCCTATTGTTACCAAGGGTACATAGGCTGTCTGCTCAGGGGTCTCTATCAGACTGTAACTGCAGTCTTTGAGCAGGCAACCCCAGTACTAGTGACTGGGCTGGGTACATATAAAACAGCCTGAGGGGTCCCTTTACCTTGGCCCAGCACTCCCTCCTAGAGGGGATATTCTTTGGGCCTGAGGTTGCTGAGCCAATCTCTGTCATTTTTAAGGATAAGCTAGGACTCCCAGATGGAAAGCTTGAACTCTACCCAATGGCTTATGATCCCCAATTAGTTTTCCTTGCTTTACATTTATGTCTTGTGGGTCTGTACTTTTGGCCTAGCCAAAAACTTACTACACTTAATTTGGTCTCCAAAAAATCTTCAGTGAAGTGGACCCACCTCCTCCAAGTCTGTTATCTAATATCTGCTGACCAATCCCTGGGCACCCATTGGCAATATCTGTCTAAATTGTTCTAATGTTACCAACTCCATGATTTTTTTCAGATGATTTAGACTCTGCCTTCAGTCACTGGTTGCATAAGCCGTTGAGGCATTGTTC